ATCCCCAAACTGGCCCCACTCTTCCAAGAGAAACCCTTCGTGCAAAGTTCCCCTTGCGCTGGCTCTGTCAGCGGGGCGTCATCCCACAGAGGCGCACGCACCGCTTCAGCTATTACCAGAAGAATTCAGTCTCCCAGGCTCTCCTGAAACACTCACCCACAATAAATTCCCTTGAGATAAAAGTAAAAAAACACATGGCAACGTTCAGGAGATGCTATCGGAGGCCGCTCCAGCAGGAAGCATGCCGTAGATGCTATCTCTCCCTCAGCTGCGCTGCAGGGGGAAAGAAAGGGCTGAACTCCTCCGGTTCACATAGGAAGGGAGGCGAAATTATATGTTAGGAGTGGACAAGGAGCGCCCGCAGTAACCCAGTGTGGTGAGGGCTGGTGTGAAAAGCCAGGGTCAGTGCCTTGTGTTTGCCTCAAACAATATCGCTTCATTGTGCTTTTAATGCCATGAATAAGAGCTAATTAGGAGTCATTGGGTTTCCCCTGTGGGGCAGCTTCTCCCCAGCGCCTTCCACAGCAATTCACAGCTCAGTAGAAACTCGCTGAGGGACGCAACCCTGGGAAAGTGCCTCCCGCGTGTAAGGAACGGCAGGCACAGGCCAAACCCTTGCTGACAGGTTTGCTCTGAAAGTTTGAACAACACCGAAATGGGTAACAAACACATCAAGGTGCGGAGTGAAACACGCTGTCTCTGTTTCTATCTCAGGTGCTAATTCTTTATCATCTGCTAGGGCATGTCCTGACAGCCCCCCGCCCCCCCATTATCTGGAAAAAGGTGATCCGAGATCTGTTACCATGCAAGGAAACTTTGTGGTGTGCGTGCAATGGAACCTCCCCCTGGGCAGGCTCAGGGCAGCGCGCCACCAGCCAGCGAGCTGCAGGGTGATGGGTGATGCTCCGTTCGGTCCCCTGCTGCCCACGGTGCTGCCGGCAGGACAGAGGGGGAACAGGCGCCACGGCCTCGGCCCCGGTAGCTGTCGAAGGGGAGACGGCAGCAACGGAGCCAGCAGGGCAAAGGAGTGACGGGAGGGGAGACAAGGGGAGCGACCCTATCCTGCCCTTCTCTGGGCTCCACGCTGCGTCCTGCAGCGGCGCAGCCAGGCCCTGCTCTGCCCGTGGGACCCCGCAGGCGGCCTCCACCGCCGGCCCCGTGTCAGGGCCACACTGGGCTCCCCACAGCCCTTTTTCCCCTCTCGGTGAACGTGGGAGAGAGTGATGCTCCTCTGTGCTGGCCCGTGTCCCAGGCTGTGTGCAGAGCATCAGGCGAGGTCTTGGCCCTGCGTCATTTGGTGCTTCACCAGTCACCTCCAGCAGTGAGCACCTCACTGGAGCACAGAGCTGCTCCCCGGCCCGAGACCCGCTCTGCCCGTTTCGGCACAGCGTGTGCCAAGGAGATCCCCTTACAGGAGTGATTCCCAGTGAATCAGCGCTGCAAACGCAGCCAGTTCATACGCTGCATTGCTCAGCTGCGGGAGCAGCTCAGCCAAGGGGCAGCACAGAGCGATGCGGTTGTCTCTGCTTTGCTTTGGGGGATCACAGACCCGTCTGGCACTGGATGGTCTTTCAACAGATCACTCAAGCTCTTCCCCCCACTCCTGCTGCTGTTACTCCTCCTCGCAGCCACCCAAGCGCTGTGACCGCCCATCGCGCTGTCAGCTCACCCAACCGAAGGCTGGCTGAACACCGCTGTTCCGCTGGCATGTTTTAGCGATAAAGGTACTGAATCGCTTTTGATCACAACCAGTCTCGTCTCCAAGGTCTGGCTCGGCCCTTGTGCCCCGGCTTGGGGACAAGGAACCCGTTCCAGCGAGCTCAGTGCTGTCAGCAGCTCGGCTCCCTCCTATGCTGGTGACATCCCGGCGTGCACGCTGCGGGTCAGGGCAGCACCGATACGCAGAGCCATGGGCCGGCG